GGGAGGGGCGGGGGCAGCGCTGCACAGTCCCCTCAGAGCCAGACCTTCTGCTCCCCGAGCAGAACAGAGGGACATTGAGAGGATGGCCCTGGGGAAGGGCTGGCTCTGGGGAAAATGGGATTTTAAGAGAGAGAAATGAGAGACTTGTTGCCTTCTGCTCCCTGCCTCCCCTCCTCCCACCTCAGAACCACACACAGTTCCTCCTTCCCCTCTTCCATGCTCTCCTCTTCCTTTTCTCCCAGGACCCCCCAAAGCTGTGATCCCTCAGTGCCACCCCCTCCCCACCTTGTCCCTGCTTCTCTCCTGAGCTCACCTCTTCCTTAGCAAAGCTGTCCTCCTTTCCCTCCTGTCCCCTCCTGGACTAGCTGGCCGTGGCCGCTATGACACAGTACCACAGAATGGGTGGTGTCAATATTTTCTCATGGTTTTGGAGGCTAGAAGTCCCAGGTCAACGTGTCAGGAAGGCTGTTTTTTCTGAGGCCTCTCTCTTTGGCTTGCAAATGTCTGTCTTCTCCCAGTGCCTTCCAGTGGTTTCCCTCAGTGCAGGTGTGTCCTAATTTCCTGTTCATTTAAGGACACCAGTCATACTGAATTAGGGCCGACCCTAATGACCTCATTTTAACTTATCTACTTCTTCAAAGACCCACTTTCCATTTATAGTCACATTCTGAGGTACTGCGGGCTGGACCTCAACATGTGAATTTAGGGGAACACAATTCAGCCTTTAACCCTTTCCATGTCCTGACCAGTCTGCCACCAAATCCTGCAGATAACAGGGTTATCTGGAGTTGCCCTAGACTGGACACTGTGACATCCCCACATACAGCCCCACAAACATCCTAACGCCTCCTTCACTTCCCCCTCACACATTCAGGACCTCTTAGAAGTACCTGGTCACACAGGCCCAGGTTACTTGGCAAACAGAATTAGCACATAGAGATATCACTTTCTTGGTTGCAAAATCAAATCTGACCTCAGGCTTCTTTCACTGTGATTCAGGGGCTGCCTATTACAGGATCATAGCTCCTTAGTTCCTTTGGTCCTTTAGGAATCTCTTCCCCTCAAAATGCTTCAGTACCTTTATTTATTTATTTCCCAGGTTGGGTGTTTTTTTTTTTCCTTTTTTTGAGAGATATTTGACATACAACACCGTATAATTTTAAGGTGTACAACATAATGATCTGACTCACGTACATCATGACATGATGGTCGCAAACGATTTAATGAACATCCATCATCTCATAAAGGTACAACATTAAAGAAACAGAAAAAAATTTTTTCCTTGCCCAGTACTTTTAAATAACCTTCAAAGGTTAAAAAAATGATACAAAAAGGAATATATTCAGTTGTCTCATTTCTACCATTTTCATCCACCCATCTCCCCTGCCTCCCCGTTCCACCTCTTACAAGGAACTGCATTAATTAGCTTTTGCTCTGTCTTCCCAGTGCTCCCACAGCCCATACAAATGCATGCCTTTATAGTCCTTTCTTAGACAAAAGGTAGTATGTTCATTTTTGCTTTTTCACCTATCAATATATCCAGGAGATTTTCCCTGTTGTTATACAGTTGGCTTCCCTTTTTACTTTAATAGCTGCATAGTACTTCATTATGTGGATGTAACATGATTTATTTAACAAAACCCCTATAGAGGTTCCCTTGAGTTGTTTGCAATGCCTGTTCTCTTGAGAGGAGAGGCTTGAAAACCTTATTCAACTAAGGTCTCCTGATACCTGAGAAATTAAGGGCCTGCAGGGACGGCAGGAGGGTGGGCAGGAAGCACCCGTAGGTGGTGGGGGGGTGTGACTGCTGGCCTAGGGGGTGTTTCAGGCTAATGGGAGAGATGTGGCTGCTCTGCTCTGTGTCATCTTCTATATGAAAAAGACCCTGCGGAAGGAAGCTCACACTGGACACATTTCTTTGATGCTTCTCTGTTGGTTCAAGACCCCTTAGATGAGTATGTCCCTGAGAAAGGGGCTAAGATTAGAAGTAAACTTTATAGGTCATTTTTTTTCTCTCTCTCTGTTAGTTATCTATTTCATGTAACCAAATACCATACATTTGGCAGTTTTAAACACACATTTATTTACTCACGGTTCTGTAGATCAGCAGTCTGGGCAGAAAAAAAAGTCATGGAAACTGGAATAAGGTAATGTGGGGAGGAAGGTAGTTACTAACCCAGTGGGTCTGGAGGCTGGGATGCAGGGAGCGTGGACCGGGAGTTCTGTGGGGCTGGGGCACGGACACGTGAAGGGGTTCTCCACTCAGCTCCTCTTGGTTGTGGGACGGAAGCGCTCAGCTCCTGGAAGCCGGCTTCTCGCACTAGGAAGCATCTCTGAGGCCAGCAGGAGATTGCTTCTGCTACTTTGAGTCTCTGCTTTCCGTGAAGGTCCAGTTTCTCTTTTAAGGGTTTTTATCTGATTAAGCAGCCTCACCCAGGATAATCTGCCTTTTAATTAATTCAGAATCAACTGACTTGAGGCCTTAATTACATCTGCAAAATCCCTCCACCAAGTTTGTGTCTTATCTGCCCTCGTCACTGCCAAATCCACTCCTTCCCAGTACCAGCCAGCCAAGTCTCTTCTCCAGACACCCTTTCTGCACACAGGCCAGGCTCCCAGGTCCCATCCCTTCCCTCCTTGGACTGAATGTCTCAGAATACCGCTGCTTCATCAGACCACATTACAGCATCTCCTGTAGGGCCAGGTCCAGCATTCCCAGCCTCCTCGACTGGCCCTACCAGGCCTCCCAGCCCTGCTTCCGAGTCATCCCTTCGAGCAGGGGCTCTGGACCCACCAGCCTGCTTATAACTCTTCCACCCAGCCCCCATCACCCTATGCCAGCTCTGGGGCCTTTATTTCTTCTGGCCACCCTGCCTGGAAGGCCCTTTTTTCATTTCTCTCCACTGAGTCTGCTCTCTTCCATTGCTCATATTTTCAGTTAGCAATTATTTCTTTGAGAGACTTCTGTGTGCTCTAGCGATGCAGCGGTGGAAAGCACTTTCCAGGCCCTTGAGAAATTTGCAGACTAGAGGAGCAGATGTGCAAGGAATAACAAAGCACTACGGTGAGCACTGGGCTAGAGGTAGATGTCCGTGCAGGGCACCTCGGGGTAACGGAGGAAGCACAAGAAACCCAACTTGGGGGTCAGGGAAGGCTTCCTGGAGGAGGTGGCTCTTAAGCCAGGTCTTAAAGATCGACTAGATGTGAGGTGGGTGAATAGACGAGTTGGTTGTGCTTCTCTGGGAAAGAACAGCACGTGCAGGTCTAAATGTGTGAGCACAGGGCATCTTGAGAAAGTCGGCATGGCTAGAATGCAAGGTGTGTGAAGAGGAACTGGGACTGGAGAGGACTTCCCAGCACCACAGACGTCCTTAGAGGTATTTGGATTTTACCTTGCAGGCGAAGGGGGCGTTTGATGGCTGGAACCAGGGAGTGATCTGTGTTGTAATGAAGATATTAAACAGCAGACCTGTGGCGTAGCGAGTTCACTGGCTGCTGTGGTCAAAGACCAGGCTCTAAACAGGAATAATTAGGATGAGAATGCGACAGCCCAGGCTCCAACTTCTGTCTCCTCCGAGAAGCCTTCCTGGGGAGCTCACACTGGCCTCCCCCTTCCCAGAAAAATGTGTTTAGCATCAGCAGCAGAACAGAGGGTCTGCTAGGAGCAACAGCAATTTAAATAATGACCCGTTCACTCCCGTAAATGATAGCCCTGTGGAGTAGGCAGGAGGGTTATTATTATCTCCATTTTACAGATGAGGAAACCAAGGAAACTGGTCTGCAGCATAGACACAGCCGTGGTGAAACGATGAACCCGATCGTCAGAATCCATCCCAGTGATGTGTTATTGCCGCTACAGCAAACTGCCTCTTGGCTTGCTTCACCTCAAAAGCCTTTTCTTAGTATTCAGTCTGTTTAATACAGACACACATCGTGTCCGCTGCCTTGTCCACGGTGCTCAGCTCAGTGCCTGCCCTCAACGTGAGTCAATGAAGAGGATGGAGGATCTTGACGGGTCCTATGGTCTATCATCTCCAATTCTAATGAATGAAATGACGGAACATGCATTCTGTCTTCGTGCCCTCTCCCAGCACCTAGAGCAGTGCAGGGTGCAAAGCGGGCAGTCAGTAAGTACCTGTGGGATTTAAGCGGCTGATGGGGAGCGCCAGTCATCTGAGAGAGAAGCCAGGTGTGTGTGCAGGGAGTCTGGAAGGGCGGAGGGGCTGGGAGCCAGGCTGGGTCTGTGGGGATCAGTTAGTGGGACAAAGAGCCACCCACCGACAGTCCCCCAGCCCGAGCAGGCTTGGCAGCCAAGTGGAGTGTAAGTAGCACTTTTCCGCTAAGGGCTCTGTGGGGAAGTGTAATGTGTCTCTATTTAAAATTAATTTTTCAGAATTGGAAGCCCCACTCTGAAAGGCAGTGCTCCCTTGGTGGCTTCTGGCAGGATTGGAAAGCCATAACTTTGGAGAGAAACACAATAAACCAGAAATTTCCTCCCAGGTGAGCAAGAAACTGCCTCTCTCCCTTTTGACGAGAGCATTTTCCAGAACTTTGCTCATCAAGTAGCTGGTTTTCAAGTCGTTTCTTCCATTTGTAAGTGAACTCCGTTCCCGTCAACTGTCTGTTCTCCTCTCTGATAGATGGGACAGAGGCATAGGCAGTCCACACATATAGGAGAACACAGAAGTAATTTCCCTTTGGCTCAGGGCTGTGTTTCTGTATTTACATGTGAATGGAGTGGCATCTGATGCTTTGAAAATGTGCAGTGCTTGCTGCCAGAAGCACCGCTGTATGGTGGATTTTGGAGGACTTGTTCGGTTTTATAAATGCTTGTTTAGGTGCTAGGGTTACAAAGATTCATTCATTCATTCACCTAGCATTTATTGAGTGCCTACTATGTGCTAAGTATTGTACGAGCCATTGGAGAAACAGCAGCAATTAACATGAAACAAAACCCCAAAATTTCTGCCTTCATGAAAGGAAAATTATAAATGAGTTTTATATATATATATATATTTATATTAGATATAACTAAGGAGATAAATAAAGCAGAAAAAAGGAATAGAAAATGTTAGAAGAGGGTTGCCTGGGAAATACTCATCAAAAAGTTGACATTTAAGAAAGAACTGTAGGCAGTGAGGGAGTTAAACATGCAGAAGTCTGGGGAAAGCCTTCTAGAGAGGGCACAGCAAATGCAAAGGCTGTGAGGTGGGAGCATGTCCAGCGTGTCTGAGGAGCAGCCAAGAGAGGAGAGAGTAAGGTGAGCAGGGAGGGCGAGAGGAATAGTAAAGGACAGACAGGTAGAGGTCAAAAAGGCCTTAGAGATCATTGCAAAGATTCCGAGCAACATTGGTATGATGTACTGTGCTGCCCGTGGAAGGTTTTGAGCAGAGGAATGATAACGATACGGCCTGACATGTTTTCACAGGAACGTTTTGGCAGCTACGGGAAACAGGCAGAAGCAGGCAGGCCAGGTTGGCGGTTGGGGGGTGGGGCACGGCCCAACAGTCAAGTAAGAGTGGTTTGGACCAAGGTGAGAGCTGTGAAGGGTGAGGCGGTGGTGGGGGGTGTGGCGGGGAGAAGAGGTTGGAGTCTGGATTGACTTTGCAGGTAGAATGGACAGGGTTCACTGATGGATTAGCTGTGAGGTGTGAGAGGAACGGTAGATGCAGTGATGCCGGTCAGGACCTGAGTGGCTGGAAGAGGGAGGCACTGTCATTTCCTGAGACAGAGCAGAACACAGAAGGGGCAGGTCTTGGTAGGGGAGGGTGGAGGGCACAGGGACGATCAGGAGCTCGGTTTTGGATATGTGAAGTCTGAGGCGTGCATTAGACAGCCAAGTGGACACAGCCAGTAAATAGCTGGGTAATGGAATCTAGAATTCAGGAGAGAGTATTCTGAACAGGAGGTATAAATTTGGGAGTCATTAGCATATAGATGGTATTTAAAGCCGTGAGACGGGATGAGATCACCTAAGACGTGAGTGGGTGTAGAAAAGGAAAAGGAAGAGCTCAAAAGATAGAAATTGAGGACACTCCGATGTTTAGAGGTCAGGGAGATGAGAAGGAACAAGCAAAAGAAACTTGGAAGGAGAGTCAAGAGAAACACAAGAAGACGGGGTGTCCTGGAAGCCAGGAAAGTAGGAATTTCTAGGAGGAAGGAGTGGTCAGCTGTGGGAGGTAATTAGGTGTATTTATTTTTAGAGAAGGTACCAGGGATTGAACCCAGGACCTCGTGCATGCTAAGCACGTACTCTACCACTGAGCTATCCTCCCCAACTCAAGTTGCTTTAAATCTAAAAGGGGAGACAAACATGAGCGGAAGTCATAACGTGGAGATGTTCACTTGGTTCCATAGCAATACACCCTAGAAAAATTTTAAAGCTCTAACCTAATTTAGGGGGGAAAAAAACTTTGAAAAGAAGCCCTACACCAAGTTTTAACAGATAAGTGATTTTTATCCAGAGGAAGAAAGAAGGAAATGATATTTCAGATAAAAGGAAGAATGTTAGTCAAATCATAGAAGCCCGGAACAGCTTGTTGGCTGTGGGAATCACAAAGAGATCAGCACTGCTGTTCTAGAACTGGACCACCTGGGTGTGACTCCCAGACTGCAAAGTATGTGGCCTTGGGCAAACTACTCAGCCACTCTGTGAACCTTTCCTTACCCATCAAGTGAGGATACAAAGTATCAGCCTCAGGAGGGTGTCATGAGGGTGAAACAGACGGTACAGGCGAAGTGCTTGTAACAGTGTCCCGTACATGGT